GCTCGCTACATTATAAATAAACGCAAAAGGCCAGAAAGTTTCAAGAGAACTACAGCAGATTCTTTATAGATCTAGTTTTAAAAATCCCAGATGACTTGAATGGTTTTTATTCTACTGATCATCTTGCTGCGCAGAAAGAATGGGAGCAGCATGAGGATTGCAAATCAAAGATCTGCTTGAGCCAGGGCTACTAGACACTCCGTGTTAATTTGTTCTTGGCAACACTTGTGTCTAAGAAGGCTGAAAGCCTTGTTGTTTCCACATCTCCTACATTTTTATATGACTGGCTCAGTCTCAGAGAGTCAGTACAACTATTGGCAGAAGATTGCACATTATATTAGTAGGTGACATATCAAACCCACATCAGCAACAGCTTCAAGTTGGCATGTTTGTGCAGGAGACTAGGAGCTAGATTCTTCGGTCCTTCAAAGTGACTTTTTGTCATTCTTGTGGCAACAAGTGACCTAACACACACCTGTCTTCATTGATAGTGGAGAATTCCCTTTTCATAGACGAATAGACGAATTCTCTTGCATTATGGGGTTGCTTTATTGGTTCCTATGACACTCCCCTCCCCTTCTCTTGGCTTCTGGTGTACAGGATCTTGTTACAGAAACAGGGATCAGGCCAGGGTACCTGTGCCTTGCTGATCTCCCATTGGTGGAACATCTGTGAGAGGCAGCTGAGAGCTGGCATAATGACCTTAGGCTATTTTGTTTTCTGCTTGGAACTAGACTGGTGGCCCTGAAATTGGGAGGGGAGAAAGATAGTGCTGCCCCTTTGACCAAGCAATAGTCTGGAATATGGGACTTTGTGAGATGTCTTTGTTTGGCTGAGAAGTCACTGACACAGAGCTGGGGTAATGCTGGGTGTAAAGAGTTTCTTCACAGAAAGAACATTAGCAATGTTCTTATGTGCTGTCATCTTGACCAGCAATAGGAACACACGACGCAGAAAGCTTGCAGAAATCTCATATCAGTATATCTTAGATGAGTGCTCAAGCAACTGCTTGTTTCTCAGGCTAAATCTACACTACAACAGAAAGTCAGCTATGCACTCCCGCCCTGTGACTAATGTAGCTGGAGTTGATAATGTTCCTTAATTCGAGTTACTGTGGAGTCTACACTGTGGGTGGTTGAGGGGAGAAACTGTCCCGTCAACTTCCCTTACTCTTCTCATCCAGAGTAGAATAAGAGGGTTGACTGGAGAATGATTTGAGGTTGATTTGAAAGGTCTTCACTCGACCCACTAAATTGACCACCATTGGATCAGTCTCAGAGCATCAGTTCAGGCTGTTGCCTTTGCTTCCTCTCTGGGTCACTTTGTACCTCTTCCTCTTCCAGGGCTCTCACAGACCCACAAACCAAACTGTCTCCAGCAGCTCCGCATAAAATCTCTTTCCAAGAGCTATTTGCTGGTTGCTGAATAAACTGTGGGCTCTGTCTACACAGGGAAGGTTTGGCGACAAAAGTGCTGTCAACATACAAAAGTCGCCAGAAGTGAAAACTGATCAAACAAGTTTTGCTGCCTCCCATTGTCAACATTCTATGGCCACCTTGCTAGCACCCTGTCCACAGATAAGAACAAAGCAATGTGGCAGAGCATCCCATAGTGCAGTGTTGGGGGAAAGCAGAGCTGCTCTGTGAGCTCTCCCTGTTGAGGAATGTCAAAGCAGCACAGCAGTATCTCTAAACCTCTCCCTGTAGCAGCAGTCTGCCTGTCAATGTGTTCCTAGCAGGACAAAACAGGAGGAGCATTCCAATGATTTGCTCTTTGCTTGTTCTCCAAATGGAGCAGCTCACTCAGATGTCAGAGTTTTGAAAGGGGAGGGGCACCTGCCTGCAGGGCAGCAGAGATCACAAAACACTGAGCACAGCCATCAGGACAGGCATGGTGGGATACTGGCAGAAGCCAGTTCTCTTGACAAACAAACAGCAGAGCCCACTCTGGCTCTTTGTCAACAATCAAGGAAGGGGAAAAGACAAAAGTCTCTCACAGGGCTACCCATCCCAGGAGCTCCTTGAGTTATATCTGTGGCTGCTGATCCCACTGCTCAAATCCTTCTCCCTTCTCCCCAGTACCTCCTGCATACTGCAGTACAGCCGTTCCATGGTATGCAGGAGATGCTGAATGGGAAGGGGAGGAGCAAGGACAGATCATGCATGGAAAAAGGTGGAAAAGAGGAGGGGCAGGAATGGAGTGGAAGTGGGGTGAGGGTGGGACCTAAGGGAAAGGCTGGAGTGTGGGTGGGGTTAGGGTCTAGGGGACGGGGTTGAATGGGGGCGGGGCATTGAGCACTCTCAGGGAAAATTAGCAGCCAGCTTGGGAGTGCATGACCATTTTTAAATCAAAATGAGAGGGTCCTCAGGTTGCTAAAGTTTGAAAACTGCTGTATTGTTGCTTTAAATAAGATGCCTAGACATAGGAATTAAAGTTGTTTAAATTGTTATTTGTAATAAGGCTCACTTTTTCTGCATTGACTGCAAGAGTGAGAGAGTGAGTTAGTAATTAAAAGCAAAAACATAAGCCACAAAACTTCAAATATATCATTCTTGGGTGTCTCAGAGCATCCTGTTATCCTTGTGTCTCTATACCTCCTATCAGTTGTAGTCAGGGTGAAAGTAACACATTTCTTACAAGTATTAGACTGTTGTATTGCAATCCATCCTTGGAGGTGAAGCTCAGGACAGGAGGTTGGGGGATTGCAATAGGAGAGTACCTGTAAGAAATGTAAGTTTGGGATGGAGAGGGGGTGGGCTTAGGGAAGGGGGTTGGAATGTGTATGTGGCAAGGAGATGGGGGATGTGGAGGGCTCGGGGCAGGAGGTGGAGAATGTGGGGAGTGCAGGAGTCAGAGTAGGGGGTTGAGAGGTGTGGAGGGCTGAGAGCAGAGGGAGTGGAGGGTGCAGGAGTCAGGACAGGTGGTTGTGAGGGGCTCAGGGTAGGGGTATGGGCAGTGTTCCCTCTAAGCTATGCAGCAGCACAGCTTCACAGGTGATTAATCAGCCTCACCCAATTGGAGGCTCAAGTGTGTGTGAATGGAGCTGACTGACCGGGCAGGGCTGATTAATCACCTGTGAAGTTGTGCTGCCACATGGCTTAGCGGGAACACTGGCTGGCAGGGAGGCTGATTCAGGCCGGGAGTGTGACCACCGCACTGCCTGGGTACCGGATCCCCAGGGCTGGCTGAGATGCTGGTGACAGAGTTGCTCAGATGTCGGATAGCAGTGGCTGTCCAGGGCAGAGGGGACCATGCTGCCTGGCCACAAGCACTGGGGCTGGAGCCTGGGTGTGCTGTGGCCACACTGCCAAGCATGTAGCGACACACAAGCCATTTTTGTTGCTATATCAGCAGCATCCAGAGCCCCACCCCTAGCCGGCTTTTGTTTTACTAGTGTGCCACACCCGGATGCACTGGCTTACTTTCACCTCTAGTTGTAGTGCTCACTAACATTGTGAGATCAATATAATGCAGTAAGGTTACTAATCAAATGTCAGGATACCATTGTCCGAGGTGCTGTACAGACATAATATTGACTATTTCCCTTGGGAATGAAGGTTACAGTGATCTTAGTTCCATAAAAGCCCACAGAACTACTCCTGGGTATGTCTACACTACCCCGCTAGTTCGAACTAGGAGGGTAATGTATGCATACCGCACTTGCTAATGAAGCCCGGGATTTGAATTTCCCGGGCTTCATTAGCATAAGCGGGG